CCCCAGCTCATCTTCTATTGTACAAAGCTCAAATCCGCCCTGCTCTTGAATACTGTGGGTACGTGCAGGGTGGGGCTTTGTCCTTTTCCCTTTCTCTTCTTGATCGTATTCAACGAAAGGCCATTCAGCTAATCGATGATCCTTCCCTAACATCCAGTCTAAAGTCGCTAGCCCATCGTCGAGCAGTTGCTTCATTGTCCCTGTTCTACCGCCACTACTTCGGTTCTGGTTCGTCAAAACTTGCCTCGGCAGTTCATCTTCCTGCAACTTTCATCCGCATATCCCGTACACAGAAATCTAGTCACCCTTATCAGGTTTCTGTTCCCAGATGTTGTACCTCTCTACCCCAATATTCTTTTTCCCCCGAACAACAGTTCGGGGAACACCCTCCCCCTTGTTGTTTTTCCCCCAACTTACAATCTTGCACTTTTTAAACGCAGAATCAATAAACTGGATCTTACGTGAATGTTCCCCTACTCTCCCCTTTACTGTATGCTATTTGTCCATGGGGATCTCCCCGTTTACTGTAAATCACATTGTGTGATAAAAAAGGCTGGTTTGTGCTCTTGCATCCTAGGTGGAGTGTTTTTTTTCAAGACAATCGCCGTAGTTACGTGATAACTACAAATCACAATGCCGTTACGAAAAATTCCTAAATAAGTCATATCTTTCAGTTTGGTTCGTGATATTCCTCCTTTACAGCAAGAAAAAGAAGTGCAGAGCTAGTCTATCACAAATAGACAGTTTGTTTCTCAAACCAACGCGGTAAACAGTTGATTTTTGGTCGATGCAAACAGCGCAAGGTCTGTGCAAACAAGAATACTTTTTATAAACATCCTCAATTTCCTGCTGTCGCATCCTTTGTTGATTCCAAAAAAGTGAGTAGATTTCGGAAACTGCGATGCATTACTTTAGTTAGTAGTATACACCACGACGACTACTGCTACTCGAAAATATTAGGAAAGCTCAATTGGGATATATATGGTAAAATTAACAGGATTATAAAAGCTACGTGAATGAATGGTGACCTACTGTTTACTTAAACCGTAATTTAAAGATACACACTCTCACACAGCCTTAATGTATCGAGGAATTTGAATCTTTTATGATACGCTCTGCTCAGCATTCAGCCTCCTGCTGAATTTCAAATGTTCATTCATCTCGAAACCGCTTACCACCTTTCATTGGAGAAATTTTTCAAACCCAATTACAGCATAGTCAATGCTAGATATTGCCCCCATTTGGGTTGCAAAGTTCGTGCACTCGCATGTGATCCATCGTGATTTACCACGGTTTTGGTTATGATGACGTCTCACAAATAGGGCACAGTTGACGATTCAGTCATGATCGTGCATGCTGAACTCATTGATAAAATCACATTTGAAACAAAACCATGCCTTGGAAAACCAGTGCAGTGACATTTTGTCCCTATTCCAAGATCCCATTGTTCGCTGTGCAATCTGTTCACGCTTTTCCGGGTGGAAACTATGTAACACCATTTCTGCGAAACGTCAATGAATGCATGCGACATGGTCGATCAACGACCAATCGAGTTTTGGGAAGTATGACGTTTTATCTTATCTTTATCTTTTTATTGAATATCCAATGGTGCAATGTTCAAGAAGGGGAAAGCGGACAATCAAAGGACTGCCATGCAATACACAAATGGGGAAAGTCAGGCGGTGGTGGTGGTGGGATTCGAACACACACATCCCCGCTGGGTGATAATTTGATGACGTTACCACCGGGTCACCACCAACGCCTATTGAGGGGGTGACATGCTGAGGATCTACGTTGCAACGTAAATGGTTGGTCGGAGGTTTGGTAACAAGTGAGAATATAGGAGGAAATGTAACTTCCATGGTTGAAATAGCAATAGACAGATTGTAGTTAGTCTTCTGTCATGATTGAACTTCTACTTTATTTCCCTCTTTCCAACTAACTGAAACAGGCAGTCAAAGCGTATTCCCCCGACGTCATTCGGACGGGTTTACTAGTGTTGTGAGGTATTACTCACATCAATAGACGGTATGTCTGGTGCGCATGGAGAAGCGGTTGGTGGATTCTCACCGATCAGTGAATTTAGTATTGTTGCAACAGAGGATGCAATCAGTCCGTTCAACTGTATGCTCACTGAGCGCGGTTCTATCATGAAACCGCGTACTGACCGCTCCAGATTAAGTGTTTCTGTCTGTGTAATCCGGTTTGTCCCTGCTCATGCGATTCTTTCAATAAACTCCTCAGTTCAGTGTTGTATTTATGGATTTGTTACTATGGTATCAGAACCAGATAGCTCACGTGACAGGAGAAAATTCTCCTTTAAACGTGTCATTAAGAAAACTGTATTAGTGGTCGCTTCTTCAAACACCTTACAGCAGCTAAAAACGTCAGGCGGTGCGTAATGATTGTGATACTGCAACCAAATACCCTTGCTCACCTCTGCGCGCGCTCGTGTGTGTGTCTGGAGCACAGAAGTACTTTGTATGTGTTCCGTGTCCTCAATCCTTTCAACCTGTCAGTCAGTTGAGTTCGTGAGCTCGGTCTATCTTGAGTAACCTTTTCAGGTCACCCATCGAATAACTGACTTCACACAACTGCCATGCACCCGGATAAGATAAACAATCTCTGCTTTCTTTTGAATGGGACTATTTCCCTAAAGGTTGTGTGATTGTTTTTTTTATTGGGTGCCCCCCAGGCGATCTATACACAAACCACTTAACTGGACCGTTTTCATCGCTGATCATGTGCTATTTTTTCGCTGCGCATGTCGGCATCATATTTGCTTAAAATTGTTATTCTAGGACAATCCCATTTCATAAGGGACAATGAAAGATAAATCTTACAACGTGCACGTATGTCGTTTTCTTTTCTCATGTGTTATTGACTGGGAAAAGTACGTGAAATGCTTCCGTCTGGCAAAATCTGTCTTTTTTCCGTGCTCATGAGTAGGATGATCGACTGTGATAGTCAAACGGTGTAGGTCCTCGTCACATCACATCAGGAGGTCATATGGTCGACTCCCTTGGCAACTGCTTGATTAGCCGCTCCTCATCTTTCCAATTGGTTGTACATTTGCAGATTCACCGGGGGAAAGCTGTATGCTTTAAATTTCTTTTTCGTTTCTGCAGTGTAACCGAATTGGGGCATGTTTGACTTAACACCTCCGATTTCGAGATTCATTTCATCCGCGCGATAAACTTTCATGCTCTTCTTTTATCCAACATCACGTTGAACTACGTAAATGAACTTCTCGATTCCCATGCATATTCCAACGATGTTGATTTCTGTTTCAGTCGCTGGAACGAATGGCTGCCCGATTGAGTCGTTTCGCGGTCCTCAATCGTCAAATATTCGCCACGCTCAATGTTTACCTAAACCCGAAAGATCGACCGGTCGGTCCGAGCGAGAGTGTGCGTCACTTCCCCCCGCCCACTTGGTCACGTCCGTGACGGTCCCAGCGTGTGCATAACTATCGCACGCTACTTCTGGTGCATTCATTTCCCCTCACCCACTCATTGAACACCATATGCCCTTTCCACACTGGGGAACTGACGGCTATTACTTCATAAACGCTTATGTTTGCCCCTCCCTTGTCTCCTCTTCCATTGTTCTCCTTTTCTATAAGCGGTTGCGGCAAGTGCATTCATCCCACACTTGCCATGCAGCTGGCGCTCTTGTGACACTGGGTCCTAGTCCGCTAAATCTGCATTGTCCCTATTCTTGGGAAAGTATTATTATTATTATGATTATTACTATTATTACCATTATTACTTGCTTGTAATTTCTCAAATTGACCAACCGGTATATTTCTCATTTGTTTGCGCTACGCTATGCCTAGTGATTTTTATTGACTGATTGTTTGCTTGAATGATTGATTGATCAATTTCTACTTTCGCCTCAGCTTCAAGGTGTACTTACTCATCCGGTCCTTTTGCATTTTCGGTAACTCCTACTAGGTCCACCTCCCCGGATCAGGGATAAGCGGTACCCTGTCGCTATGACGAACTGCCACCGCGTGATTGGTTAGCTTCTCGGCTGAATATCAGCTGATCTACTCTCGTTCTAATTCCCATTTTTTCGCGTTCATGATTTCTAAAAATAAACACTCACCACAATCTATGATGTACAGCCAGCGAATGTCGAATCATTGTTCAATTTTTCATCGAGTGCTTTATAACTCATTTAATAATGTGGTTGATTACATGCTACCGGTGGAGGATTTAATTCTATCTATACAGTGAATCTTGTCCTGTTTGGACGAGCAAATGAAGTGTGAACTGAAAAGCTAGGAAGCAATTTTCTGCTGTTTCGATCTGGCTTGGTCTCATCGACACTGCGAGTCCATCGACCCCGGGTTGCTGAGCAGACTATACACGACGTGGCGCAACCCAGATTTGTTGCGGGTATCATACCTTGCTCATCTCAGCACTGGCCTCCGGGGTTATGTGAATCGGTTGGAAACATCCCGAGCGTTTTTTTGCATAAAGAAATTCGGTGTCTGGTCACCTGCATTAATGTGTTGCAAAACCTCTTTCCACTAATAATTTCTATGTTTTTCAACAAAAAAGTCACGTAAACAGTTTGGCATTGCTTTCCCGTGACCAGGTTGCAACAACATCCGCACACCCTGTTCTGGTCTATATGAATTGCCTCAACCACAATGTACCTCATTAAACTGTACCACCGGGTGACTTAATCACTCCATATTTTAGTCAATTACCGTGATCTCAGACGCCGATCCGATTGCTTGACTTTGTTTCACAATCATCTTGACTGAGTCGTACCAGATTTCCCGTTCACAGAACTTTCGTGGATATATAGTTAGTACTACATGCTTTGTCGTAGCTGGACTACTGGCTGATCTCAGAAGGGTCAGTCGAACTGACTCGACGTTCGGTCGGAATTCGATAATGATGGGCGTCCTGGGCAGACGAAAGTATGCATGAACGGCACATTCTGTAGACCGGGACCAATCATTGATGATATAGTGTTCAAGCTGGTGAAAATTCTAATCATCAATTTTTGTTCGTTTTTCAATGGATCCGGTTTTCGCACAAATGTACACCAAGGGGCGGTGAAGAATTCAACTCTATACTTTGCCGTGTTTTCATCGCATACAAGCAAAGAATAACCATGTAGCTTGCAGGGATGTTAGAACATTGCTAGACACAGAAATCCAGTGTATCACAACGCGATCACTGCACGGCTACAAGGTAGACATCTGTTGTCTGTGGCACAAAACTAATCAGCGTACCACATAGCAACGCAACCTACCGGTTATACCACAGCGGCCCAACTGACAACTCCGGTTTGCACAGGGTAGCAATCGCCGTGAGCGGCCGGGCCAACAATGCCGTGATCTCCTCTGAACCAATCTCTCCCAGGTTTGCCATAGCGCGCTTCAAGGGGAAGCCGTTTAACCTGACTGTCAACACTATATGCTTCAATGTTACATGTGGAAAAGTCCATCAAAGACGACTTCTGCAACTAAGTTCAAGACGCAGTGAACCACAGTCCGAGATGCGACATTCTCGTTGTCGCAGGAGACTGGAATGCATGCAATGGTCCATCAGACGAACATATTCGGCAGGTTCTGGGAAAGTTCGGCTTTAGTCAACGTTGCGAAAATGGCGAACGCCTAGTCACATTTGCTGACTTTAACCGGCTGGTCGTGGCCAACACTCGTTTTCAGCACTCCAGAAAACACCTGTTCACGTGATACTCAAATGATGGTCGAACGGCACAGCAGATTGATTATAATTTGGTACGTGCTNACTGCCATTCCTATCGCGGCGCAGAAACTAGAAACAGAAACGACACGGACCATACCCGTGTACGCGTCCGTTTCAAGATCCATCTGACTACTCCCCGGAAGATTCATCTCCCGGGCAAATTCAACTTCGCGCTCTTGGAACGACCTGAGAGAAGACAGGCGCTGCTGGATGCAACCGCTTTCAACATAGCCGAAACTTTCTTTGATGACTCAATTGTCGACGCACAGTGGTTTACACTGAAAACGTCCATCAGAGAAGCGGCACTGGGGCAATTGGGTGAGGTTCTTCGCCACAAGAGGGACTGGATCTCCGAGCGTACATTGCAGTTGTCCGCAAAGGTAAGAGATGCGCGGCTGATCAATTCCCCTGAATTTCGTATTCTACGTCGCCAAGCCACAAGCTCCGCTAAGAGTGGAAGGCGATTGCAGGCAGCATGGAGGCTGCAACCGTCGCAGCGGACTTTGGAAAACTATTCCGTGTAATTCGTGTCGAATCAACTGAAGTTTTCAAGTATCTTGTCTCTACGATAAGACCAAACGACCAGGCTAAGGATGAAATCCAACTCCGTGTAGATGGAGCTAGAAGAGCCTTCCTACAACTCCTCAAACCGTTGTGAAATTGATGCGACATAAGCTTAAACACTAAGTTTCGGATTTATTAGGCTTCCATCCTCCTCATCCTCATTTATGATTGTGAAACCTGGCCGCTAAGAGTACAAGATACAAGGAAGCTCGAAGTCTTTGTTTATCGGTGCTTACGTCGCATCTTAAAAGTAAATTGGAGAGATCGGATTTCCAATGATGAGGTTCGACGGCGTTGCTTGACATTGACAATGACAAGCTTTCAAAGTGCCACAACACCGGCGCCTTCATTGGTTTGGCCATGTGCTCCGTAGGCCCGACACTCAACTCTCGCGACAGGCTGTAGCCTCCCCCCACCGTGCAGTGGATAGCGTTGCCGACTCGGTGGTCAACTGAAAACCTGGAATAGTACAATCAAGGCGGATTTGGAATTACTCGACCTTCAATCCGTATATGGAATTCGCAACTGGAACCAGAACTGGGTTTCACACTGCGTTAACCTTGCTACCGATCGTCATGCATGGGTCGCCATAATTAGAGACATCCAAGAAGCCGAATTATCCTCCTGCAGGAGTTAGTCAATCAAAGTAAAAGTAAAGCATAACCGACCTTTTTGGGTTTGAACAATAATGGGATTGAGAGGAAGAACTAGGCAGATGGGAAAGAGGTTTTTGCAAATGGGTGCCCCAGGCTTTGGGCTACGATATGCTTCGCGGCAGCCCACACCGATGAAGAGGCTTTTCTTGGGGAACCCTAACCGGAGCCGTCGACTCAATATCTGACCCACAAGGCGATGGGACGTAAATCCTACGCGAGAGCGTGATCCAAACACCCGCGTGGGAGCTTCTAGAGATCTGTCACGCAAAGCCTTCGGGTTTCGGTTCAGTGTGTTTTTCGCTGGTGCGTTGATTGTCGATCTGCTTTTCGGGATCAGCCCTTAGCCTCATGCACCCAGTGAGACAAGCGGAACGTGGACGGGACAGCACCTTATTGGCTGGGGGCTGCCCAGCTTGGGCGGGCGGTAACCGCTCCTACGTTCTTCTAGCGGGTGTTTTTTGCCCGGCAAACTGCTCCTCATCGTGTTTATTTGCTGGAGTGGCCTCCCCAGGGGCAGGTGTGGGCGGAATAGGAATTGTTTCCAACTGAATGGCGTGAATCGGTCATCTTACCAATTTACAAGATAGGTGGCAATTCTTCTTGTTAAAACCAAAGAAGAATTAGTTAAATCAACATTGCTTCTAAACTTCTCGTTGGCATCATTCTCAATCGATTGTCTGCCGCACTTGAAGGGTGCACACTTGAGAACCAGGCTGGTTTTAGATCCGGTTGAGGTTGTATCGACCCTCATCTTCACTCTGCCAAACTATGGAATACCAACATTCTTTTCATAGACCCATCATCTCTGTCCTCCTCGATCTGAAAGTGGCTTTCAGCTCACTCGACCACTCCAACCTCTGATGCTGTCTTTCTCTGAAGGGTGTGCTCGACGAGTTTATTTCAGTAGTACGATCCCTTTATAATAATAACCGAAGTCGAGTCCGAGCTTGCGATACTTTATCTCCCGAGTTCCCCACGGAAGGTGGTGTTCGTCAGGGTTGCCTTCTCTCTCCTTTTCCATTTAACTTTGTTATAGATTTGATTATTGAAACAGTCCCATCCTCGTTCGAGGACAGTGGCATTGATTCGCATCCAGGTGATAGACTGCCTAATCTGGAACATGCATACGACGTTGTGCTCCTAAGTGAATATCTAGTCAAGTTGCAAGCTTTTCTGGATCGTTTAAAGGCTAGTTTAACATGCATTTTGCACTAGGTTGGTCCTGCACCGATCCTCACTCTGACTGGGGAATTAATAGAAGAAAAGGATAATTTCTTTGCGGTCAGCTACATCTTACTCAGTGGACGCATCACGGATGGAGTGTCTGCTCGCGTACAAAATGCTCGATTGGCATTAGCCAACTTGAGACATCTGTGGCGCCGTCGCGACAGTCTGCTGTCTGTGAAAGGTCGAGTGTATGCCGCTGCAGTTCAGCCAGTTCTGCTATACGGAGCAGAAACTTTGCCATTAAGAATACAGGATGGGGATAGACTGTCG